TCTGGCAGCATCTGTGAAGGAAAAAACAGAGTTAACATTTCGGGTCTAGTGACCCTCCCTCAGAACTGGACCCGAAACGTTAACTCTGTTTTTTCCTTACAGATGCTGCCAGACCTGCTGAGCTTTTCCAGCAACTTTGTTTTTGTTCCTGATTTACAGCATCTGCAGTTCTTTCAGCTTGTCCGATGAGCATGGTGGCTGTGTGACATTAAACCACAATAGGGTGCTGTCGCTCCATAATGAGACTTTGTCTTCATGAAGACTGCAATTCTCACTAATAATAATGCTATCTTCAAACTTTTCACATACATTAGCAACTTGCCTTTCATGGCAGTGTGGAATTAATAACTTCAACATAAATGAGACAGGCTTGAAAGGCTCAAAACAATACATGGTTTGGGAATTGGCATTAATCACGGAGTATTCAGAGAGGAGGTGATGCATGATGTTTAAGTAAACAAATACTGGGATGGTTATCAGTGGATGGAAACATGATGCACATTTCCTAAAAGCATGACCAAACAGTCACAAGCAACTACAGACCATTAACCTTGCTTCAATGTATACACCTCACAGGGCTAATGCTTTGAAAAACAAATTGCACTATTCCTGGAGTTATCATCTTCTGTTATTAGATATTTTTTGATTTGCTCGTGGGAAGTCGGTGTCACTGGCTGGCTAGCTAGCATTTACTGCCTGTCCCTACTTGCTCGAGAAGATGGTGGTGAGCTGCCTTCCTGAACCGTTGCAGGCCATATGCTGTAGGTTGACCCTCAATGCCCTGAGGGTGCAAGTTCCAGGATTTTGTCCCAGCGACAGTGAAGGAATAGCAATATATTTCCAAGTCAGGATGGTGCCTGGCTTGGAGGGGAACTTGCAGGTAGTGGTCTACCCATGTATTTGATACCCTTCTTCCAGATGGAAGTGGTTGTGCATTTGGAAGGCACTGACCAAGGGTCTTTGGTAAATTTCTGCATCTTGTAGACACCACTGCTACTGAGGATTGATTGTGGAGGAACTGAATGCTTGTGAATGTGGCTGTTTTGTCCTGGATGGTGTTAACTTTCTTGAGTGTTGTTGGAACTGCACCTATCAGGCAAGTGGAGAGTTTACTCCATCACACTCCTGACTTGTGCCTTGTAGATGGTGGATAGGCTTTGGGGAGTCAGGAGGGGAGTTACTCACTGCAGTATTCCCAGCTTCTGACCTGCTGTTGTAGCCACTGTATTTATATGATGAGTCCATTTGATTTTCTGGTCAATGATAATGCAAGGAAGTTGATAGTTGGAGATTCAATGATGGTAACACCACTGAATGTCAAGGGGCGGTGGTTAGATTGTCGTTTTATTGGAGATGGTCATCGCCTGGCATTTGTGTGTTGCGAATGTTACTTATTACAAATAAATAGATTCTAATCACAGGTAAACAACTATTAGCTGTTGACATGGAGCTCTATAGTTAAAACTCTAACTCCCTTATTAAACCCATGCATAAACCTAACTACTACTCTATGTTTTTGTATATGAGTAGAAGGAAAATAAAAACTTGGTGCCACAGTTCCTCAGCATTCTCAGCACTAGTTTGTTGAAGTCATCATTTTGTTTGCCAGGACTTTCCATTCTTCAGTTTCTTTATTATCTGGGATTTTGTTCTTACAGGAAGCACTGACAATTGGTACGCTAGCTGCCAGGTCTCTTAAATTGGTTAAAGACCACAGTTTACAGCAACTAGTGGGAGAAAATAACTAATTTCTTTAAGATTTCAGATATTTTTATGCAGAGATGGAGGGACACCACCTCCTCTTTAAGAGGTCCGACAGCTCCTAGTTGTATCATGAGCATCAGTCAGCTGTTCAACTAGCCAGGAACCAATCACAGAGATAGTCACAATTCACCAAACCAATCAGCTACTTGTTGCTGGACAAATCTCACTTTGTACACATGGCCTAGCGCTGTGCTGCCTTTTTACACCTTCCCCTTTATTTGCAAACCAACAATGTAAACATGGCTTACAACGAGTTTCAGTAACTTGCCTTTTAAAACTACTAATCCTTCTTTAGTATTTTGTTATAAAGCAGTTCTTTGCCCAATTTAATCCATAATCAAAAGAAAGTAGAATAGAAAGATGCAGTCTTTACAACAGTCTAAACAAATTAGTCATCAGATTATCTGTACACTGATAATCAAATAAACAGCAGTCACAATGGGAAACATTCCATCTATCAATACTTCAATGAAGTGACATTCTAAACAGACTGAAAAAAAGTTTTATGATGCATAGACAGACTTCTAAATGGCACTTCATAACATTCTACATAGAAAGCTCTCAGTTAATTCAAAGTTATCGGGATTCCGGACAAGTCTTCTGAATGTAAATTGGTTGAAAGGCGAAAAATTGTGGGTACCTATCAGAGGAGCTATATGAAGACTGGGTGTGGCGCTGAGTTGGATGCCCAGTAACTGGCATTGGGACCACTACAAAATTTCAAACTTACATCAATGGATTGGATTCAGATTCAATGAAAATTGCTGATGCTTGTAGACATTATCAAATTAGGAGAGGCTATTAATATCACTGTGGCTATTCAGAAATTACAAAATGGAATGCTGTTGTGAGGAATTAGAGACAAATATTGAGGTAAACCTGAAAATTATTTAAAAACTCAAGACTGCAAGCTAAACAAATAAATTTAAGCTTAAAAAGCACAGTTAAAACAGATCTTAGGAATGTGTTATTAACATAACAAATGATTAATGCATAGAATGGACGTCTGGTCGTGTGGTAGAGGTGAAAACTCTGGAATAACTAAAGAAATAACTGAGGGCTGCAAAGGGAAACATGGAGCATGAATGCATGAACATTAATGAGTGTAATGGTCTTTGAGATCTGTAATTAATGAATGATCGATGGTATCATGCACAGTGACATACCATCATAACAGCCTTACTGATTTCAACCACATCCTATTGATCTATAAGAAAGTACAAGTTCATTACCCTGCCTGTCAGAAAAGCTTTCTTCACCTAACAACTCAGCCAAGAACTGGCTAAAATCACACCCGTACAAAAAAAAATACGATTACCAAGAATGTTGGTTATATCCCAGATTATTGCACGAGAGTCCAACACTCTACTGTTAGAGTTACAAGAAGCCCCTTCTTAAATATTAATAGATAAAACATTTTGAGCAATTGATTCTCAAACTATTTCTCACCTTGCATTACAGAAAAGTATGAGGTTCTGGATGGCAGTAAGAGTAGATTGGTCATTCTGTCCAGTTATAAGGTGCCTATCAATCACGACATGTACAGCATCAGGCTCAGTAGCTAAAAATAAAGAGATAGAGACAGTACAATATTTATTCACAACATCCAACTCTTAGACACTGTCCTTGTCGCTCTTTCACAATTATTAAAGAAGAAATAATCATTTTAGACATGATTTGAAGACTGTGTTTTTGCAGCTTCAATATCAGAAATTTTGCATTGATCATTTTAGGTATTTTGAAGGAATACCATATACCAAGATCAGCTGATATTGTTACACCTAACTGATATTTTCCTTTCATGAGAGGTATGACTTTTTTGCTATTGTACTGTTTGCACAATCACTATCTGGTTTGCTTCCCCAAGGAACCATTCTTCAATGAAACACTGTCAGTACCACACTGTGTCCCAATTTACTTTAATATTCGTACGCTTTTAGTTTCTCGCAAGAGTCACCTGGCTACTCATGAAAATTACAGCAGCTTTTGCTGCTATCCTGGCCAAGGTCAGCTAGTGTGGCACAGATCAAGGATCTTTTACTTTGGACTTTCTGGATTGAATGGTTTAACAACACAGAAACAGTACTCCTAATGAATCAAGCCATTAAGAAAACCTCTGGCTCTCTTCATCAACATTATCCAGCACCCGATTTGTATAAGCTTGGTGTTCTGGAAAAATATGAAACATGGAAATAATTAGACAATCATAGACCACTGGTAGGATTATCACAATTAGTGTTTCATACTGAATATGTCTAGAGATTCCAGAACCAATTTATTAAAAAGTGCAACAAATATTTACAAAGTAGATCACTTCTACTTCTTAATACTTAATTTTCTATTGCACAATATCTTATTCCATTTATATGGAATTTTAATATATTTCAGTCAAGGGCTTGCCAGTCATAAATTAGAGAAATCTTTGTTGTTATTTTTATCAAAAGAAAACTTTCTTTAGAACCATATGTACATTGACTGGGTTAGGCTTGGCTGTGGTTATCCTTTAGAGCTGTTGGCTTTCACTCTGTGGTCTGAAATCCTTCCAGGGTTAAGTTAGGAGGAAAAATTACACAAATTAGGCCTACTTTCTCTAGCACTTAGAAGGCTAAAGGGTGATCTGATCGAAGTCTTCAAGATATTAACAAGAAAGGACAGGGTGGATAAACTATTTCTCTGGTTGGGGATTCTAGAACTAGAGGGCACAGCCTGAGAATTAGGGCCAGACCATTCAGGAGAAATGTTAGGAAGCACTTTCATTCACAAAGGGTGGTAGATGTTTAGAATGCACTTCCACAAACAGCAGTGTATGCTGGATCAGTTGTTCATTTTAAATCTGAGATAGATACAATTTTATTAATCAAAGATATTAACGGATATGGGCCAAAGATAGGTATATGTAGTCAGGCTAGATCAACCATGATTTCAATAAATGGTGCAACAGGCTCAAGGGGCTGAATGACATACTCTTGTTCCTATATTAATTACAGTGGAGCCACTTGGATGAGGTGTTAAAAAGCAGTCAATAGTCTTGGAAACTCATTCAGCAGCAGACTACCTTCAAAGCACAAGGTGAGTAAGATCATGGGAAATACTAAGAGATAACATCACATCATCAGTAAAGACTTGAATAAATGCCCATCGTTCTTTTTTCAAACTAAACTCACACCAATAATCATTTCCAACATTCTCTGTTACACCTCACTGGGGTATTGCTGGATATCAAGCCTCACCGAATCTGGAATCATCATAAAAGTTGGAAGGTTTTTCCAAAGTACGCAAAATTCCCTGTATGTACTTGTATTTTTAGACTGAGGTTGACAAAAGAACAGACCAGGTTTCTGTACTCAACCAGAATTACAGTTTAATGCAAATAAATAATTTTAAGGTTAAAAATAAGAGTGTTCTGAAGTGCAGCCATATCAAAATGTTATCTCTATTGATGCCACCAAACCTGCTGAGTTTTTCTATCACTTTCTGTTTTTATTTTAAAACTTCTAGCATCCATTGTATTTTGATTTTTTTTTTTTTTTTAAAATCACTTTTGGCTTGCAGTTTGGCAAACTCTTTATTTTCCAGGTACTTTCACTGGCCTGCAGGAAGCACAAAGCAACTGGTTCATGACATATGAAGTCTCTGATTTATTGATTAAAAGCAACAGCTTGCAGCAACTGCTGAGGAGAAGTAAACTGGCTTTCTTCAGGCTTTAGGAGCTTTCTTACTGCAGAGACAAAGAAAGCACCTTCCTTTCTGGAGATCTGAAGGGTTGTGACCATTTTGTTCACACCCACAAGCTGTTCAGCTACTTGGGAGCCAATCACGTTGGCAGGCAGAAGGCCCGTGCCATTGACAACTGGTCAACACTCCATAGATCTGTCAGCCAAATCTCTCTTTGTACATACGCCCTGGTGCCAGTTTGCCTGCAACTAAACAATCCCCACTGGTTGAATAAATATAAGTACAAACAGTACAATAAATAAGTACTGGCAGCTTGCTTTTAAAAACTGCTGCAATTCCTTCTATATTCCTTGATTTTTAAAACAATCCTCTCTCATTTCAGTCCACTATCAAAAGGCAGGGAAATAAAAAGATATGGTCCTTACACTTCAAACCACAACAAACCTTGCTGTGAAGAAAGCTCCAACACTGACCGTCCGTTTTCTAGACTGACTTCAAATTGCCATGATCAAAATATAGCAGCTTGAAGTCATAGGAATGGAATATGCAATAAGCAGAAAATAGTTAGATGTTTTCCTATATATGGAATGGGGACTGAAAGCATCCCTGAATTACAATCACTATGACAACACAGAGCCACAGATGACCTACCACTGTAGGTGGCTCCCGAGTCTTTCACAAAATCCTCCACAATGACTGGAAGGCTTGCAAAATCTTTCCTCCTTACTAGCTCGAAGACAGAGGGCTATGAAAAGAAACTATCAATTATCCATTTATTAAAATGAACTGCAATAACTGATCTTAGACACAATTAGTAATATCAACAGAGCTTAACTACATCAGTAATCTAGAATGCTCTCAAATGGCAAAGTCAGAGTAATTAAATACAGCTTATTTATTTAAAACATGGGATCAGATTGAATAGCTCTTTTTCAGTTAGTACAATCACACAGACAGAGGCTATTTGGTCTATCCCATATACCTATCTATTTAGCCTACCTTTTAAAGAGGTTAACTGCATTTTTAAAATTTTTATTTGCAAGCATCCCTTGTTAGGACAGCATTTATTGCCCATATTTAATTGCTTTTGAGATGGTGGTGGTGATTTGCCTACTTGAACCAATGTAGTTTTTGGTGTAGGTGCATCCATAAGGTTGTTAGGAGGAATTCTAGGACGGTGACTCAATTAGGAAACAGCAAATAAGTTCCAAGTGAAGTGTGGCCTGGAAGGGAATTTGATAATGTTGATGTTAACATGGATCTTTGGCCCTTGTCATTTGTTGTAGTAGAGACTGTGAATTTCGGGTTGGCGAAGGATCCTTGTCAAAATCTGACAGTGTATTTGTAGATGGTACGTACTGCTGGCACAATGTATGCTGGTGGAGAGACTGATTGTGCAAGCTGGTGGAAGGTGTAATGCCTATGTGGGCTGCTTTGTCCCAGATGACATCCAAGTTCTTGAGCTTGTACTCATCCAAATAAGCGTAGAATATTCCAACACACTCCTAACTTGTGCCTTGTCAATAGTCGGTAAGCTACGAGGATTCAGAAGTAGAATTACACCCCACATAATTGCCAGCCTCGTACCCACTCTTCTAGTTGCAATATTTACACAGCTGGCTCAGTTCACTGTGTTGTCAATCACAATCCACAGGATGTTGATGGTGGAGGAATCAGCAATGGTAATGCCACTGAAGGTCAAAGGGACATAATTGGATTTCCTCAGACATGGATCTTTGGCTGACACTTGCATGGAATGAATTTTGCTTACCACTTATTAGACCACGCCCGAAAGTTGTTAATAACTTTACATACCTGTAAGAAAAATACAACTTTTCTTATGTGAGGTATATTTAAACTGAGCTCTTACTCCAGTGATGCTGTATCCCTCGAATATCCATGACTTGTCCTGGTTAGTTGCACAACATAAAGCAGCAACTCCATGTCCCACCACACAAATTGGTTCTGCAATTAGCAAATTAAAAATAAGGGCAGATCACATCTTCCCCCAATTATTACATTTAAGGAAATATTTAAGTAGACTTTGAAAATAGATTCAATTTGGAGAGGTTGTGTATATCACAGTCTGGAGCCAATTGTCTATTTTCACAATGTAAATGTCTGTTTAATAAAGTCTGCAAATGCTGGATTACAAAGATACTGGAAACTGAGATCAGTACATTTCCAATGAGAACAGACAAGTTAACATATCAAGCTACAGTTTCTCCTCATTACATAAATATGGTTGACTCTTAAATGCACTCTGAAATGGCCCTAAAAAGGGACTGAGTTCACGGGCAGTTAAGGATTGGCAATAACTGTTGGCCCAGATAGTGACACTCACATCCCATGAATGCATAAAAAATGAAGCAAGTAACATAAAAGAGATGAAGAATGAAAAGAAAAATCTATAATTCAAGTTCCAAACAAAAATAGATGCTGCAAAAGTCTCTTTAATTCAAAAGCCAAAAGTTATGATGTTTTAAAATTAGAGTACATAATGCTATGCAAGTTAACTTCAACTTCCCTCTACTTACTTATACATCTTAATTTAGAAAAGGTTGTTATTAAGCAATATCAGTAACCAAAATATGAGAGCTCCGCTTCCCAGTGCTAAAGAAATAATGTATGAACTTAATCGAGTTCCAAAAAAAAATTGATAGGTGGATGATGGTGTAACAGTAATGTCATTGAACTAGCAATCCAGAGATAAAGGCGAACAGTCTGTGGAGATAGCAAGAACTGCAGATGCTGGAGTCATAGTTAAAACAGTGTGGAGCTGGAGGACCACAGCAGGTCAGGCAGCATCACAGGAGCAGGAAAGTCAAAGTTTCAGGTTTACACCCTTTTGAAGGTTCAAATCCCACCATGCAGCTGGTAGGATTTTAAGTTTAACTAATAAATCTGGAGTTGAAAATTACTCTGAATAATTGCACCCATGAAACATATTGATGCAAAAATTCATCTGGTTCACTGAGCCCTTTGACAAAGGAAATCTGCAGTCATAGAGTCGTAGAATTATACAGCATGGAAACAGACCCTTCGGTCCAACCAGTCCACGCCAACTGTATTCCCAAACTAAACTTGTCCCACTTGCCTGTATTTGGTCCATATCTGTCCAAACCTTTCCTATTCATGTACTTATCTAAATGTCATTTAAATGTGTAACTATACCTGCATCTACCACTTCCTCTGGCAGTTCATTCTACACATGAACCACTGTGGAAAAAAGAAAGTTGCCCCTCATATTCTTTTTAAAACTTTCTCCTCTCACCCTAAAAAAAATGCACTGCCACCCACTTTTTGAATTCCTCCATCCTAGGGAAAAGAGTCATGATTTTATAAACCCCTCTACGGTCACCCCTCAACCTCCTTCACTCCAGTGAAAAAAGTCCCAGCCTATCGAGCTTATTCTTTTCTAACACAAGGCCTCCTTTCCTCACAACATGCTGGTAATTTTTTTCTGAATCCTCTCCAATTTTAACAATATCCTTCCTACAGCAGGGTGACCAGAACTGCACAGAGTATTCCAGAAGAGGCCTCACCAATGTCCTATACAACTTCAACATAGTGTTCCAACTCCTATACTCAAAGGTCTGAGCAATGAAGGCAAGTATGCTAAATGTCTTCTTAACCACTTTGTCTACCTGTGATGCAAATTTCAAAGGATATGTACCTGAACCCCTAGGTTTCATTGTTCTACAACACTACCCAGGGTCCTACTATTAAGTGTACAAGTCCTGCCCTCGTTTGTTCTATCAAAATGCAATACCTCGCATTTTTCCAAATTAAATACCATCAGCCACTCCTCAGCCTATTGACACAATTGATTGAGATCTCTTTACATCACTGTCCATTACACCACCAATTTTGGTGTCATTTGCAAACTTACTAACCATGCTTCCTCTATTGTCATCCAAACTGTTTATATAAATGACAAACAAAAATGGACCCAGTACCTATCCCCATGGAACACTGCTGGTCACAGGCCTCCAGTCTGAAAAACAGCCCTCCAACACCTCCCTCTGTCTCCTACATCAAGCCAATTTTGTATCCAATTGGCAAGCTCCCCTTGAGTCCCACGAGATCTAACTTTATGTATTGGTTTATCATGCGGAACTTCGTCAAAGGCTTTGCTACAGTCCTGTAAACAATGTTTACTGCTCCACCTTCAATCTTTTTGGTTACTTGCTCAAAAAACTCAATTTAGTCTGTGAGACACAATTTCCCTCACACAAAACCATACTGACTATCCCTAATCAATCCCTGCCTCTCCAAATGAATGTAAATCCTTTCTTTCAGAATCACCTCCAACAAATTACCCACCACTAACGTCCAGCTCACAAGTCTATAGTTCCCAGGCTCCTCCTTACAGCATTTCTTAAATAAAGGCACAACATTTGGGGCAGCATGGTGGTTAGTACTGCTGCCTCACAGCAGCAGGTTTCTGGGTTCGATTCCACCCTCAGGCGACTGTCTATGTGAAGTTTGCACATTCTCCCGGTGTCTGCGTGGGTTTCCTCTGGGTGCTCCGGTTTCCTCCCACAGTCCAAAGATGTGCAGGCTAGGTGGATTGGCCGTGGTAAATTGCCCATAGTGTTCAGGGAGGTGTAGATTAGGTGGGTTATAGGGGGGATGGGTCTGGGTGGCTATGGACTTGTTGGGCCAAAGGGCCTGTTTCCACACTGTAGGGATTCTATGATTAACCACCCACTAGTCCTCTAAAGGGTCCCGCAATTTCTTCCCTTACTTCCCACAACATCTTGGGATATACTCGATCAGGTCCTGGAGATTTATCAATCTTTATGTTTTCTAAGACCTCTAGCAATGATGTGAACTGAATAGTGAGAATTCAGGCCCAGCATGTTCCTCTAAAAGTGAAGGGCAAGGGCAGCAGGAACAGGCAATCCTGGATGTCAAAGGACTTCGAGAGTTTAGTAAAGAGAAAATAGGAAGCATATGTCAAGGTATAGACAGAGCAGATCATCAGAATGTCTTCCCCATGGCTGACCTGTCCAAGACCACAGGGTATAAGTTTAAGGTAAGGAGCATCCAGACGGCGGTAGATACATAGAGTGTGCTGCCTGAGAGGGTGGTGTAGATACTCTCACAACAATTAAGAAGCATCTGGATGAGCACATAAAATGCCAAGGCATAGTAGACTATGAACCAAATGCAGGAAATGGGATTACTGTAGTTCGATGTTTTTTAATTGCCACAGTCACGGTGGTCCAAAATGTCTGTTTCTGTGTTGTATAACTATGATTCTGTGACATGCTGCCAATCAGACAAGGACCTACGTATGGATATTTTGTTTTGCCAATCTGCTATTCAAGTTAATATGTTACCTCCTACAACATGAGCTTTTTACTTTCTGCATTAACCTTCAATGTGAAACCTTATCAAATGCCTGCTGGAAATCTATGTACAGTACGTATATCCATTCTCGTCCACAGCACGGTCTGAAGGAATATTGTGTGTATCTAGCTGTATAGTTGCCACGTATGGTCGGTAAAATACAGAGGGATTTTTCATTACTTCAGGGAGACATTAAACCCCAAGATGCAAAAAGTGAAGAAAAAGATTGCAGCCTGAGTCTTTCCTGACAAGATTGCAGACATCAATTGTTGGCAAGTGTTCCTGGTTGTATTTCACCACACTCACTCCATGGAACTTGTTTCTAACTCACCTCAGTTAACATTTCGCTTTGAATGATATTTCCTCACCAAATGCTCCTGCAAGGAATTTCTGCCTCAGACTCTCAAATCTGATTGCAGACTGTGTTTCTTTGGAGGCCACATTATGCATCCTCTCGCTCATTGGGGCTCACTTCCAAAACCACTTCACTTTCAACTCTTGTTTCTTCAAAACCTTCTGAATTGATTAAGGTTTTCCTTACTGCTTTCATTCTTTCCTTCACATAAGCTGCTCCATAATATTTTTATTCAAAAAGATTGTGCTGTATAAATTCAAAATCTCCTCAAAGTTCTGTTCAAAGCCAAGCTGTTGTGGTGCAGTGCTGGTGACCCTCCCCCTGAGCTGGGAGTTCTGGGTTCAAGTCCCACTTGCTCAGGGGTGTGTAATAAAATCTCTGAATAGGTTAATTAGGAAAAAAAAAATTATAACGTGCATGAAGCATAAAGATGGCTGCAATGGAAAAGATGGATAATTTTTACTTTAGCGATGGAAAGGGATCGGTATATAAAGCAGGGCAAGAGTTATAGCTGGGGGAAAGGCAACTATGAGGCGATGAGGCAAGATTTAGGATGCATAGGATGGAGAAGGAAACTGCAGGGGCTGGGCACAATTGAAATGTGGAGCTTGTTCAAGGAACAGCTACTGCGTGTCCTTGAGAAGTATGTACCTGTCAGGCAGGGAGGAAGTGGTCGAGCGAGGGAACCGTGGTTTACTAAAGAAGTTGAATTTCTTGTCAAGAGGAAGAAGGAGGCTTATGTAGAGATGAGGCGTGAAGGCTCAGTGAGGGCGCTTGAGAGTTACAAGTTAGCCAGGAAGGACCTAAAGAGAGAGCTAAGAAGAGCCAGGAGGGGACATGAGAAGTCTTTAGCAGGTAGGATCAAGGAAAACCCTAAAGCTTTCTATAGGTATGTCAGGAATAAAAGAATGACTAGAGTAAGATTGGGGCCGGTCAAGGACAGTAGTGGGAAGTTGTGCGTGGAGTCCGAAGAGATAGGAGAGGTGCTAAATGAATATTTTTCGTCAGTATTCACGCAGGAAAAAGACAATGTAGTCGAGGAGAATACTGAGATACAGTCTATTAGACTAGACGGGATTGAGGTTCATAAGGAGGAGGTGTTAGCAATTCTGGAAGGTGTGAAAATAGATAAGTCCCCTGGGCCGGATGGGATTTATCCTAGGATTCTCTGGGAAGCTAGAGAGGAGATTGCAGAGCCTTTGGCTTTGATCTTTATGTCGTCATTGTCTTCAGGAATAGTGCCAGAAGACTGGAGACTAGCAAATGTTGTCCCCTTGTTCAAGAAGGGGAGTAGAGACAACCCTGGTAATTATAGACCAGTGAGCCTTACTTCGGTTGTGGGTAAAGTGTTGGAAAGGATTATAATAGAGAGGATTTATAATCATCTAGAAAGGAATAATTTGATTAGGGATAGTCAACACGGTTTTGTGAAGGGTAGGTCGTGCCTCACAAACCTTATTGAGTTCTTCGAGAAGGTGACCAAACAGGTGGATGAGGGTAAAGCGGTTGATGTGGTGTATTTGGATTTCAGTAAAGCGTTTGATAAGGTTCCCCATGGTAGGCTATTGCAGAAAATACGGAGGCATGGGATTGAGGGTGATTTAGTGATTTGGATCAGAAATTGGCTAGCTGTAAGAAGACAGAGGGTGGTGGTTGATGGGAAATGTTCATCCTGGAGTTCAGTTACTAGTGGTGTACCTCAAGGATCTGTTTTGGGGCCACTGCTGTTTGTCATTTTTACAAATGACCTGGATGAGGGCGTAGAAGGATGGGTTAGTAAATTTGCGGATGACACCAAAGTCGGTGGAGTTGTGGATAGTGCGGAAGGATGTTGCAGGTTACAGAGGGACATAGATAAGCTGCAGAGCTGGGCTGAGAGGTGGCAAATGGAGTTTAATGCGGAAAAGTGTGAGGTGATTCACTTTGGAAGGAGTAACAGGAATACTGGGCTAATGGTAAGATTCTTGGTAGTGTGGATGAGCAGAAAGATCTCGGTGTCCATGTGCATAGATCACTGAAAGTTGCCACCCAGGTTGATTGCGTTGTTAAGAAGGCGTACAGTATGTTAGGTTTTATTGGTAGAGGGATTGAGTTTCGGAGCCATGAGGTCATGTTGCAGCTGTACAAAACTCTGGTGCAGCCGCACTTGGAGTATTGCGTACAGTTCTGGTCACTGCATTATAGGAAGGATGTGGAAGCATTGGAAAGGGTGCAGAGGAGATTTACCAGGATGTTGCCTGGTATGGAGGGAAGGTCTTATGAGGAAAGGCTGAGGGTTTTGAGGCTGTTTTCGTTAGAGAGAAGAAGGTTAAGAGGTGACTTGATAGAGACATACAAGATGATCAGAGGATTAGATAGGGTGGACAGTGGGAGCCTTTTTCCTCGGATGGTGATGGCTAGCACGAGGGGACATAGCTTTAAATTGAGGGGTGATAGATATAGGACAGATGTCAGAGGTAGGTTCTTTACTCAGAGAGTAGTAAGGGCGTGGAATGCCCTGCCTGCAAAAATAGTAGACTCGCCCACTTTAAGGGCATTTAAATGGTCATTGGATAAACATATGGATGATAATGGAATAGTTTAGGTTAGATGGGCTTCAGATTGGTTTCACAGGTCGGCGCAACATCGAGGGCCGAAGGGCCTGTACTGCGCTGTAATGTTCTATGTTCTATGTTCTAAGCTGGGTAGGCTATGTTTTCATACAGGATAGAGGTTTATACCATTGAATAAGTGATGATTCTTTGGTAAAACTTGTTAACAGGACTTATCATTACACCCAAACCAAATCCTTTGTTGTGAACCACAACAATGTTTTCCAACAAGAGTCACTGAGCAAAAACAGTGTCTTGATTTGTCTTCACTGATCAAAGACATGCTATGTTTATCACCTCAACTCTTGTCTTCTCAGAGATCAGCTCACTCAGCACAGACTAGATGCTAGATGTTTCTTGAACATTCATTGCAAAATCCATAACACAAACTGTTATAATCAACAATTAGGTAGTTTCTCATTCAAACCTCCAGCATAAATTTAATAATGTTTGAGAATAAATTACTCACTTTTCTCAGCACAGAAATGCTGGAGAATCTTGGCCAGATATCCACTGGTTGCAAGATCTACCATAGCACCAGGACAATTTGGAATCAGGATAGCGTTGTACCTTGCACCTAGTGACACAATGTCATTTAATATCAAAATATTTTAGTTTACATTTTCAGTATTTTCATCTAAATGTGGATAAACGTCCCACTGTACTATACAAAAAACATATTAAACGTAGTGCATGTGATTCGCTGTATAGAAAAACAGCACAAGTCACAGGGACATTTTGACTTCTCTTTGGTCAGGTCACATTTTAACTGACACTGGATTGGACGTCTCTTGCTCTTTGTACTAGTTATACTTCTCTACTCCTCCCTTTATATCGTGCTCATTCTTTTTCACAGTCTGTTACAGCTCTGAACCCAAAAGCGATCCACCACTGATCTGCTCGGAAATTTGCATTTTCACCACTTCTGCAACTTTTAATATAAAACTGCAATATTTGGGTAACAAACTGCCCTCTCAGATTAGCTACAGCAATTTATGGGAGTCGTTATGGTGCATCATTTACTATAACGAAAGTAAATGGCACATTCACATTGTCCACACTTTAAATACTCACATCCTTCTCTGTTCTACATTTCAAGACACTGCTCTGAATCCCAAAGGATCTTGATGCTGCAAACTGAACACTGAAGTTTAACTTTCATTCTATAAACTATCAGATTATTATTATTAACCCCACACTCCAGAAACAAATATCTGCAGAGCTGATATTCCTAGATTAGCTTCGGTATTTTAAATTTACCAAACATCGCATCTCAACGTAGACAAAGCCCCTACCATCAATCGACTCCAGCTTAGCCGGATTTGAGTATGGCTTCATACGGAAGTCCTGGATCCAGCGTATATTATTCTCATCCAGCTCCACAAAATCCATCGGCTTCCCCTATTGCAAACACACACATATATTATATATACAAGCCTTCCCTAACTAAACAGATGCCAGTGGCTTGGATCAGAATCACAGTTACACAAACGGAACAAAATGCAAAGTACTGAAGGTCAAGAGGAAGGCAAAGAGAATATTCACTTACAACACTTTAGAAGATTTAATTTAATACATTAAAAGGTGAGGTGCTGAAATTACTGTCCTATTGTTAGAGATTTTGAAGTATAATTTGAGAACTGCATATCCTACACGAGACCTTTTAATAATGATAGCTGATTTTCCTTGACATTATATAAAGGGAAGTTAAGACAAGTATAGTCTTCAGGTAGAATGAGCCTGCAGGTGCAAATACATTCTCAACTTAAAGTCACATATTCTGTTCTTAATTTTGGTGAATACTTGAATGTTATAGTTTATTAATGGAACTGGTGGCTAGTGAAGTTAGTTAGAGGTGAGGTTTCTCTGCAGTACAGACTTAGAAGCTGGGAAATTAAAAATAAATCCGCTACTAGAGGGTATACTTGAAATGAGAAACGTTTACCTAGGAAATTACAATTAAACTACCGACAGTCACATTAACAGTGGGAAATTTATAGCATAAAGATGTGCAAATGGGAAGCAAGGTTTTAGAGCCAGGTAACAAATGTAGTCATTTTTTACAATAGTCATAGATTGTGGTTATTAAAATGCTTTTGGGTCTTTCTCATCTTTACTGAGCCTTTGAACGTATTATAGCCAAATTTCTAGATGACAAAAATAGGTGGTAAGGCAAGTGATGATAATGACAAAAAAAATCTGTAGAGGGATATAGATAGGTTAAGTGAGTGGGCACAATTTGGCAGATGGTCTATAGTATGGGGAAATGCGAGGTTATGCATTTTGGCAGGAAGAATAGAGGAGCTGAATATTATCTAGAGAGAAAGATTGCAGAAATCCACAAAACAGAGGGATTTGGGACGCCTCGTCCATAAGTTCAGTGTGTAATAGGAAAGGCAAATGGATTATTGGCTTTAATTTCAAAGGGAACAGAACATAAAAGTAGGGAGGTTTTGCTTAAACAGTACAAATTACTAGTCAGAGCACAACTGGAATACTGTGAATATCATTATATAAGGAAAGATATGCTAATATTGGAGGAAGACCAAAGAAGGTTCACCATGCTGATAACAGATATGGAAGGACTGTCTCATGAGGAGTGGTTGAGTAGATTAGGCCTGTACTCGTTGGAATATAGAAGAATTATAAGTGAATGTTTTGAAACAAATGAAATTCTTAGAGGACTTGACAGGGTAGATGTGGAAAGGTTGTTTTCCTTTCAGGGAGAGTCTAAGACCAGGTGACATGATCTCAGAATAAGGGATCATACATTTAAGACAGAGATGAGGAGGAATTGGTTCACTCAGAGGGTTGTGAAGATGTAGAATTCTTTACCACAGAGGGCTGTTGAGACTGGGTCATTAAGTCTTTTCAAGGCTGAGATAAACAGATTTTGATTAGTAAGAAAATCAAGGTTTAATGGGGAAAAGGCACGAAATTAGAGTTCAGAATTATCATCATGATCATAAAGGTCTATTTCTGCTCCTATATCTTATAGTCCTCCTCTATTCCAGCACACAGCAGGAACTGTTAGATGGTTCATCCATACAAGGCAATGACTAGCATTCTACTTTTTTTGTAAAAGTATACAGTGGATCAATGAAAAAAGACGACGTAGCTGGCACTTACCCCGGGAGTGGCAATCTGAAGGTTAAAAGCTGTATTACATAGTGTATAGGAATGATAAAATGACTGTGCAGATACACCTGGGAGAGAAAGGGAACAAAGATAAAAACACTTCAGTTCAAAAATTCTTAATATTACAATCTGTCATTACACTCCTATATATAAAGCTCAGTGTAAAATTATTGGCTGCATGAAGTCGCCAAATTATACTTTGTTTCTATCATTCAATTATTTGAAATATAAATCTATTTCTCAACATATACAGTGAGTGCCTAGGTTAAAATAAATTTAGCAATTTATCAGAAGTTGGTAACAATTTCTAAACCTGCAAGAGAAAGTAACATTGAAGGCTTTACTGGAACAGAGGATTGACAAATACAGTGGGCTGAAGCTACATCTCACAAGAACTGGATGGGGACGCATTTCTTATAAGGGCGCATGCATAGTGAAGTTAAGCAACATCCAAGAGATGACAGGGTGAAGACCTGACAACTACATGGTCATATACAGAAAGATTTTAACATGCTATTGGAAAGTAGACAAGAGATACTGTGTGATAATTTAACCAATTCTATTTGCAAGGAACTGCTATTGGTTTCATTTGTATATGCTATTTCTTGAAGCTTAAAGAAATGTATACCTGTGTGTAAATTTTGTGTCCCAGCTTTGTAAAAAACATTCTCAAGCTGTGTTGTTGAAAATTGAGTGTTCTTTTGATGCCACTAAACACAGAGATTGACAGACCAAACTGCAACAAACCTAGATGTAATGGTTAATACTTAGAAGAACTCTCTCACGTCCGGAGTAGATAGCAGCTTATCTCAGTTGTGGCTCATTGGTAACATCCTTGCCTGAGCCAGAAGGCTGTGAACAAAAATTCCATTCCACAGTCTCAATCACGATCTCGGCTGACAGTCCTGTGCAGTGCTGAGGTAGCACTGCATTGCTGGAGGTGCCCTCTTTCAAATGAGATATATATAAAAAAAAGGCCACCCAAAAAAAAAAAAAAATTGGGACTTTCAATTGTCACTTCTGATGGTTACAATTATGTAGCACTAATGTTTCAGATCAACAAAGAGACTTGAGGGTTATAGAGTCATACAGCATGAAAACAGACCCTTCGGTCCAGCCAGTCCATGCAGAACAAATTCCAAACTAAACTAGTCCCACCTGCCTGCTCCTGGTCCCTATCCTTCCAAACCTTTCCCATTCATGTACTTATCCAAATGTCTTTTGGATGTCGTAATTGTACCCGCACCCACCATTTCCTCAGGAAATTTGTTCCACACGCGAACCATTCTCTTCTGTAAAAAAATTGCCTCATGTCTTTTTTAAATCTCTCTCCTCTCAGCTTAAAAACGTGCCCCCTAGGTCTTGAAATTCCCCATCCTAGGCAGGACACAACTATCCTTAACTCCATCTATACCTCATTATTTTAGAAACTTCTACCAGGTCACCTCTCAACCTCCTACACCCCGTTGAAAAAAGTCCAGCCTATCTTTATAACTTACACCTTCCGTCTCCAGCAACATCCTGGTAAACCTCTTCTCAACCCTCTCCAGTTTGAAAATATCCTTCCCATAACTGGGCGACCAGAACTGAACACAGTATTCTAGAAGAGGACTCATCAATGTCCTATACAAACTCAACATGACTTCCCAACTCCTGTACTCAAAGGACTGAACAATAAAGGCAAGCATGCCAAACTTTTTTTTTAACCACCCTGTCCACATGTGACGCAAACTTCAAAGAATTCATGCACCCTGATCACGAACAGATCAAAGTAATCATCAAAATGACTAATGGATCACTGCCTTTATATCTAGTAATTGGTTAGTTATACAAAACTCTGGCTGGACAAAACCTATACAGTAAGGAGTTCCATGCACAAAAGGGATATATCCCCTCGAATTTAGAAGGCTAAAGGATGATTGAATTGAAGATAAGATATTAAAGGCACAAGTAGGGCAGATGGGAGAAAAATTCTTCAGCTACTTGAAAAATGTAAGATATAGGCTAAAAATTAGAGCCAGACCTTTCAGATGTGAAATTAAGAAATACCGTCACGCTCAAAAAGTGGCAGAAGTCTGGAACTGTTATCTATAGATAGGAACTGAAATTGCATCATTTGCTAACCTTCAAGCTTAGATTGATGCAAAAACTATTGTTGGAATACATATTTATAATTATGGACTGTGTGGAAAACTTTTCAGTTAAACAGGGAAAAGAGTGAGGTTAAAAGCTATGCGCTGTAAGCCATTTACTTATATAAATCATCAAGTGACTTTGGAGAAACAGTGAAGCAAAAAACTCTGAAAGAGATAAGAGATGGGTTTTATTGCTTTAATTACTGGGAAACTGGCTTTGAAGTCACTAGGGAGCCTCTATGCTAACAGGTGCGAGCAACCATTTTTGGACTTAGTATTCTGTTTTACAGACCCAGGAATCACTAAGGAAGACAAGCTGCAATTCTGTCCTGAAATTATGTTCTCAGCAGAAATTCCTGGAAACCTAGTCAAGTCTTCAAACACAAGTATTTCTAACTACTTTGTGAAATCTGAAAAGCTGGACTATGACCATATTCTAAAGACTTGAATCCAGATTTATGCAATCGGAATCAGTCTATGGTTGTCTAAAACTCAACTTTGCAGAGGTTTGTCTTTTCATGTTGTTGTGTATTTGGGATTTAGAGGTTATGGTCTGAATTCCAGATCTTAGTTTAAACGTTGACTAGAGCTTGTCACTTGGCTTTAAAATAAGTTTTGCTTACAATTAGCAGTTACACTGAGTTCATTCAGGAAGGGTGAATGTTTATTATAGATAGTAGGAACTGCAGATGCTGGAGAATCTGAGATAACAAGGTGTAGAGCTGGATGAACACAGCAGGCCAAGCAGCATCATAGGAGCAGGAAGGCTGACGTTTCGGGCCGAGACCCTTCATCAGAAATGGGGGAGGGGAAGGGGGTTCTGAAATAAATAGGGAGAGAGGGGACGGCGGA